AGCATTGCGAAGCTGGATGGGGCAGCTCGAAGAAGTTTGCGTGGCGCGTGGAGCTCCATGGGTAGAAAGCTGGGCGAGGCCGGGTACAGGCAGGTGACGGCGGCAACGTTGTATAAGTTGATGCTTTGTTGTAGCGGCGGTCGGGCCTCGCCCAGGATCTGAACCCCGCCCCGCCGCCTGCCTGCGGGGCCCCTCCACTGCGCAGAGAGCGCGGCGCCAGGTCCGATGAGCGCTCCCAGGTAGCGCGCGTGGCTGGTGACCGCGAAGTCCTTCCATGGGTGGTAGATGTCGGCGAGCGTAGCTCGGATGTTGCGGATGAGCGGCGGCGACGGCAGAGTCCAGGTCGGCGCGATGATGCGCTTCCTGGCCTGCAGGCGGAGCACTGCAAACAGTTCAGCAGCATGTGGGCGAGGAAAGAAGCGCTCGACGTCGCGGAGGGCGGCGAGGATGATGCCCAGGTCGTCGGCGCAAACGATGATGGGGCCGCGCCCGATGCGCTCGAGCTCGAACTGAATGCCGCGCATACTGGAATCGAATAGCAGCGCCCAGATCGCACAGCTCAGCGGGCAGCCTTGGGCGACGCCCGCCCGATTCAGCGATCCGGCGGGGCCGGCGGGATGCGCCGAGCTCGGGAAGGGCGAAGGGCGCACGGCAGGGCAGCACGCCCGCAGCCGCGTGAAGACGGGGCCGCGCAGCCCCCATCGGCGCAGCACCTCCCATGGCCAGTCGTGCGGCAGGCCAGGGAAGGCATCGGCGATGTCCATGCTGGCGAAGCAGGTCCGGAGTATCTCAGCGTTCTCGCCGATGTTGGGTTGTCGAATGGTCGTGTCGACCAGTGCAATGTTGCTCAGGAGCTGCCTGCCGTTGACGGAGCCCTGATGCTTCTCGGTGGTCATGGTGGCGGCGCGGTGCAGCTGGCGGTTGGTCACGGAGGCGATCAGGTTCGCGTCGCTATCCTTCGCGTCGAGCGGGCGAAGGCAATCGGGCGCCCTGGTGCACTCGAATTTTGCCGAGGGGCTCGTCGCCCTTCGGGAGCATGGCCATCGAGGCGCGGTTCAGGTCGCGGGGGGCCGCCTGGCCCTGCGCCGCGCGCAGCAGGAGGTCGGCGAGGGCGTCGACCCCCCAGGCGAGAGGAGCCAGGCACGGTGAGGAAGCCCGTCGGGACCTGGCGCGGAATCGCCCGCCAGGCGAGCGGCGGCGCGCAGGTCCTCGACGTCGGGAAGCGGGATGTCGAGGGGCGCCCTCTGCGGGAAGACACCGTCGAGGCAGCGCTGCACGGCGGGCACGTCGACGTTCTCGGTGGCGAAGACCTTGCCCCATTAATGGCCTTGGATAGCGGAGTGCGTCGCCATCGGGTCGGCGACGGCGTGGTAAGACGCGCCAGTGGAGACGCGGATGCCTGCGAAGACGAGGCGTTTGGCGAAGGGCTTCCAGAGCTCGCCGCGCTGTCCCTCACGGCGCGAACGCTGTCTCCATTTTCCCCTAAGTTGGCGACGAGGGTCTTGCAATGCAGCGCGAGACCGAGCAGCGACCTCCTGGCGGCGGAGATCGGCAATGGCGAGGAGCGTCGCGTCGACTTCGGAGGCGAAGGCGTCGGCGCTGGCGATCGAGATCTTGTCGTTGTCGAAAGTCAAGTGGTGGGCGCCCGCAGCGGTGTCGGTGGCGGGGAGGTGGGCGAGTTCCCACTCCTGGTACCAGGCTGCTCGGGGGATGCTGCGCAACGTCCTGGTACGGGTTTCGCGGTTGATGTTTGGGTCGTTGGCCTCGGATGGCTGGATGGTGCCCATGGCGTCGCGAGCTTTCTGCGCCGCAAGGGCCATGCTATACTTCAGTGGCCACCGTGTCGAGAGCGGGTCGAGCGAGTCAAGGTCGACCATGCTCAGAAGGCGGGCGTAGTAGAACTTATAGCGCTTGGAGTTGGGGATGAAGGCAGGTATCCCTTGTTCAGCAGCAGGCCGTTGGGCACGAGGGCGTAGCTGTAGATGTACAACATTATGATCACTGGCAGGTTCGCAAGCACGCTCAAAGCGGCGGCTGTCGACGGTAAGGTGCGCCTCGAGGTGAAGCGCGTTGAAGGCAGGGGTGGAGATGAAGCAACGGTCGATCGTGGCCTCGGTCTTGTTGGCGGGGCAGCGGTGCGTAGTGGACTTGGTAATGACCTCGGTCATGGTGGAGAGGATATGTTTCCATGGGACGGGCTGGTACTGGTATCAGTCGTTGTTGGTGGCGCCCACTGGTCGCACCAGGCTCTTGGGCGGCAGCTCGGAATGTTGAAGTCACAGATCAGGACGGCATTGTGCGTGTCTGGGTTGGCGTCAGCCCGAGCATTCGCCGCAGCCCAGGCAGCAAAGAATGCCTGGCGATCTTGCACCGTCAGCCCGTAGCTGTGGACGTTGAAGATGGTTGTCTCGTGCTTGCGCTCGACGTCGTACGCGCGCCCGCAGGAGGAGGAGGCGGAGGAGGAGGAGGAGGAGGAGGACCAGGAGGAGGGGGAGGGGAGGAAGGAAGGAGGAGAAGGAATGGAAGGAGGGTAGGGATGAGGAGGGGGAGGAGGTGGAAGAGGAGGAGGGGGGGAAGAAAAAGTAGGGGCGGGACAAGCTACGTGCGCTCGCGCCGTCTGTGACATCCTACCCTTCCCACTTGTCCATGATTAGATCGCTGTTTTTCTATATTCGCCGACGGATGTCATAGCGGACTTGGAACCCACAAGGGGACCCCATTGTGCCATGCGCAATCACAGAAGGGGAGCTGCGTACAGTGGAGGAGAAGGGGGGCGGATGAGCAGCAGGATGAGCATGAGCAAAAGGAGAAGGATGAGAAAGGAGGAGGACGGACGAGGAGAAACAGCAGCAGCAGGAGCAGGAGTGGGATATGCGGGAGGAGCAGGATGACCAGGGGAAGGCGGGGGAGGGGAAACGAGCAAATGACAACCATGAGGACGAACTCGAATACAGCCCGCGCTGGGGCGAGAGCAGCATTGTGAACGATGGGGGGCGAAGTGCCGATCTCAGGATGAGGCCAACGCACGAGCGGGAACGCCAATTTGAGACAACGAAAACGCTGCGAATGAAAAACACGCAAGTAACACCACGTTCAGAAATCCGGTGTAACAGCGATGCGCGGAGGGGGGAGGGCCCCTCCCTGGCCATCTTCGGGGAAGAGAGGATCGTAAGCAGTATGCGCACTGGGTACTGGTGGAGAGGAGGGAGGGAGGGAGAGAGGGAGGATGAGGAGGAATCGGAGGAGGAGTCGGAGGAGCTGGAGGAGCAGGAGGAGGAGGAGGAGCAGGAGCAGGAGGTGGAGACAGAAGACGCCCTTGAGGCCACCCAGCATGTTGAAACCACCACATCTCGAGGAGACGGCTTAGGAGGAGGAGGATGCTTTATGCAGATGGGGGTCATATCCTTTTCAACCTGGGCCTCTCACTTGACACGTTCTTGAACTTTGTTTATGCTTCTTGCTCCAAGTCCTGCCGCTACGACGATGATGGGCGGATCCTTCTCAAAAAGGCCTACCGCTTGAATGACAGGCCCAGGGGGCTCTCGGCTTCCAAGCGGGCGCTGCCCAGAAAGACAAGTATGCTCGAAAAGGCATCCGAGGAAGAAATTCAGGACGGGATGGTGTAATTGCGAGGAAGGAATTGTCGTGCGTGGCCGTGTTGATGCATCCTTCGGCTTCTCGTGCCTCATATCTCTCTTCCTTAGATGAGTTCCTCTGTCGCACCACCAGACGTAGCGATAAACTTGCCTGGCATGTATCGTCAAACTTTCTTTCACACTACTACCGTGCAGCTTGAGCAACCCCAGCAGTTTTACGTTTTACAGACACGCCAATTGCCCCGCGGAGAGGAGGGGGCATGGGGAAAGGAGGGGAGGAGAAAGAACCTGTAACCAATCCGTCACCCTGGTGGCCTGGGCCACTCGGCCAGGCGCGCCGCGAGAGCAGCGCCATGGATGGAGGGCTGGTCGTTTCCAAAATGCAGATCTCATCTGAGCACCGCGCATGATCGCCCAGAAAGCTAGCAACAACAATACTACAGGCAGGCATGTTAAACAATGCCACTCCCGTTTGAGCATTCCTCGAGCTCTATGACCCAGAGACACAAGTTTTGCAACAGTTACACCAGCGGAGGGCGGCTCCATTTTCAACATGGGGGTCTCGCTTGAGACGCCCGCACGGTTTGTCAATCGTGCTGAGATTGCGGCACAGACGGAGGGCGGATACTTGTTCAAACGGGGCTCTCGCTGGACAGCTCCGCGGACATAATCATTACCCGCGTGCGTCTCTTCAGCTAGAAGCTACAAGGACAGAGGGTGGTTTCTGCAAAGCGGGGTATCACCTCGATGGCAGTTCCACCAGGCGCTTGTCAGTTCAACGAGGCGCCCACCGCAGTGGAGAAAACTGCTCGTAGGGACATTGGGGGAGGGGACTTGAACGGGATTGCGTAATTGCAGAATCGTTGATGCATCTTGGGTTTGCCATGAACCTCGGAGATGACATCATCCCCTGGAGGTCCCCCTTGACTCGGAGGGCCAGCACCCTTACCTGATATCCCTCCTCGTCAGATTCGTTTTCCTACTCTTGCTCCTCCTCCTCGTCCGTCCCTGCATCGCCCTCGCCTTCGTCATTCGTTCATTCACCACCTATGCGCGCCGATGACGTTCACACACAGACCTGACAAACAAATGAACACATGTGGAACACGCTCACTCGTCCACGTGACGGGCAGCGCTCAAAAGTTGCAAGACGCTCAGCAATAGCCGGGTCCCAACCTTTATCGTTGAGACCAAAAAGCAGAGTCAGAACACTGAGATCAAGCCACACGCCCCAGATCTGTCCTCGTCCTCGTCCTCGTCGTCCTCCTCCGCTGGGTCCCGACCAGAATCCGCTGACAACCGAGGAGGAACTTCGACCCCCGATCCTCGACACCTCGAACCTCGACCCCTCGATTCGGAGGGAATAGGTATCATCCGTGGGAGGCCACCCCTGCTGCGGAGGGCCTGCATGCTCAGCAGAGACGCCACGACCTCAGTCTCCGCCGTGTGCGCCGCGGACATCAGGGCAGTAACGCCATCCTCTTCCGGATGGCGGATGGTATAGGGGACCCAGTAAGACGTACGAGCGCCCAGCCATGTGCAGAAATATGCTTCCCAATTTGCGACGCCGCCCTCATTCTACGAACGCTCGCTTAATGCGTTCTCTCGACACCCATGTGAATTCATTTAGGTATGCGTCTTTTCTCGCTCCTGATATTGGGGGGTGGTCGTCGTCCTCGACGTCGCCGTCGTCTCCTTCGGCGGCCTTTGGCCATATTCGGTGGCCTTTGGTGGCCATCGACGGTCTCCGGTGGCCTCAGGCGGCCGCGAAGAGGGCGTTTTCGTCGTCGCCGTCCTACTCCTCCTCCTCCTCCTCCTCCTGCTCCTCTTCCTCCTGCTCAGGGTCTTTGGGAGGTGCCCTCGTCGCCACGGCTGGATCCGACTCGAAATCATGATCACCATGCGTTCCGCGAGAAGACCGGGGGGTCATTAGTGCCGCAGTCATCGTCCATTGGAGGGGGAGGAGGAGGAGCTGGAGGCGGAGGAGGACGAGGAGGACGAGGAACAGGAGAAGGAGGAGGAGGAGGAGGAGGAGGAAAGCAGTCTATGAGTTCGATCGTGATTGACGGCATCAAGGGGCCCGTTTCGAATTTCTCCGAAAACAGACCGGGGCAGGGGGACCAGCCAGGATGGACCCCGGGAGGGGTGCATGTGCCGATGTTGCAAGGAATTGGTAATGCAGAGGGGAGGAGGGGGGAGACCTGATTTGATGTGGGCTCGTGTAAAAAGCGAGCTCCCATCCTACAGCCAATGGATTGCCTCGGGGCAGGCTTAGACAACAAACAAATGACAAGCCGTGGGAGAAGGAGAGGGGATACTCAGGAGAAGAGAGAGAATAAGGACAGAGGGGGCTCACATTCTTTTTTAATCGGGGGATTGCCGCTCGCGTCAGCCGGCTTTCCAAGGGCACGCGCCTTGGCTCGTTGAAGGTGAGAAAACGGTCGTTCCGTTTATCTGTTATCCTCCTCCGTTTTCTCCTTCCTGCCGGGGGTGGGTAAGCCGGGCGAGGCCCGCGACAGGGAAAGAACGTGGCATCGCGGGGGGGCCCAGGAGGGGAGCGGCGTCGTGGGTCCCCAGGCAAGGGAAGGAGAAGCGTCACGATGAGGAGGTGGAGGAGGTCATGGTCATGGTCATCCGCGTCAGGGGGTCAACATCAAGACCTACGGAGGAGCTGCGCGCGCAACTAGCAAGATCCCCTGTGATTTGATCATGCCGCAGCCCCAGACTTCTCATGGGGCAGGCAGGGGGCACGCCCGTGAGCCCAAGGGGGCGAGCTCAAAGGTCGCCCCGTAAGAGACGCTCGCTGAATCAGACGACCCCCTGCGGACCAGCGCGACGGGAACAGCTGCTGGCCTTTGCGCATGCCCCCTCTGGGGGACTCGCTGGCGAACAGGGCTACCGACTAGGGGGGTCCCTGAGTCCCTCTTTCATGTGTGAGACAGAGCTCCTGCACTCCGAGAAGCCCCCCCCCCTCCCCCCCCCCCCCCCCCGCACACCTCCACAGAAGCTCCAGCACTCCGCTCTGAGATGTCCTCGCTCGTGCTCTCCACTCACTACGCCGCGACAAATGCTTCCCGCGCCAACCGCGCTCAGATTCCGCCCCCCGCGCAAGGTCACACCTATCCCAAAACATCTGGGGATACATGCGGCGCGCGCAAAAGATCGAACGAGCGCGAGACTTTCCCAGTCTGAAAGAGCGTAACCGTCACGGGGCAGCAAGTGTGCATTTGTCTCCAACACTCTGGCAACACGTCCACCGACGCTTTCCCATCGAGCGAATTCCACTTCTGCCAACATGCGCACTCTGCCGCTTGAAGCAAACTTGCGCCGTAATTCATTCGCTGAATAAAACAATGGCCAATATTGTCTAAGATAATGCCGAAGATGCCGTCCGCAGTTCGTCCGTTGCGCTTCCGTGTCCTCTTTTCTATGGAAAAAACCCTTCGGCAACTGCGACTTCAACCACTAGGACGTCCGAGGGAACCCCCATTGGGTAAGTTTGCCGGTCCCGTTGCCTCAGCTTCCCACCCCTTCTCCACCCCCTCCGAATCTGCACAATCCCTCTGCGAAGCAAAAACCCTACTACCTCAACGGATTCTCCAATGGACATCCCCTTTCCCGTGCGCAGCGTTTGCAAAACGCTCTTCGCGATTCCTGCACTGGCGGCTGTATGACTGAAGAATTCCACAAGCGTTGCGATCTCAGGGTCGCCATTGAGGAGCACGGGTTTTCGGAGGTCGTCATCGGCACCAGTCGGTGGCCTCTGAACCTCGGGGCCTCCGCCTTCCCAGGCCTTCTCCATCCGGCGGCGAACGAACGTGCCGATATCCTGGGTCAAAATTTCCAGACATTTCAGTTGGGTTCGCCTCCACCTTTGTAGATATCCTTCTCGTCTGTTTCCCCTCGGGAGTCCATGGGTTTTCGAGGGCCATCATCGGCATATGCCAATGACGTCCGAAACTCGGGGCCTCCATCTTCCCTTTTTGTCGCCTGCGTTCGTCTGCACTGCGGCGGCCTACGACTGTCGTCCTTCAACAGAACGGTCATGGGCGTTCGAGGTTCATCACTGGCGAAAACCAATGGTTCTGAACCTCGGGGCCTCCATGTTCCCTCTCGCTTTCGTCGTTCAACATATCTCGCCGACGGGCAAACGACTGCAAAGCTGGGCCAACGGGGTCCCATGGCCGCAATTAGTCTTCGATATCCAGCGCCAGCGTTTCCCAAAACTATTATCTGAGCATGTGACTCCTCATGTGCTACAGGGCCAAACTCCTGGCGCAGCTGTTCTCAAGGCTCTGAGTCGTTTGTGTGTGTTTCGAGTCTCCTCACTGGCACCCTCCAATTGCCTCCGAACCTCGGGGCCTTCATCATCCGTCTGGTAACTGCTGTCTAGCGAAGGCACTTGATGAACCAATCGTTCGCAAATGGCAATCCCAGCGATCTGGCATTTCCGAGCATGGTTACGGCGAATCCGTTCTCTGCGTTTTTGGCTTGCCGACTTGTTTTTCAAGGTCACACCCGAATCCCCCATGCACATGGGAAGTTGCGGCGCAAGAAAGTTTCGTCACCAGTTGACGACCCTGTTACGCGAGAAAACGTCGCAGCAAGTGCGTTATCGGAGTGGCTGCAAGGATTGTTGATTCTCTCCGTTCCTCCTCCCCCCTACTCCCTCTCGCCCGCCCGACCGGGATTGGAAAAGGTATAGTGCGGCAGTCGTGTGAGTGAGTTTCAGTGAAAATCCTCAGTCTGTCGGAGCTCAAATTGCCTGGGCCTCCAACGCCGACAAGGAGGAGGAGGAGGAGGAGGAGGAGAAGGAGGAGGAAGAGGAGGACAAGGAGGAGGAGGAGGAGGTGGAGGAGGAACGATGGGGAGGAGGACGAGTGATGGGGAGGGCGATGGAGGGAGGAAGGGGGATGACAAATGAGACACTTCCATCACATTGAAACTTGGCGATCGACCAATTTCCCGGGGACTCGACTTTAGGGGGCGGTCTGTTGTGCGGGATGCAGCCATCATGCACGTAATGGAGTGGGGACGGTCCGAAGACGAGGACAACGACGGCGGCGACGAAGACGAAGGTGGCGGCGGTGCCAGTGGCGAAATCTGGGCGGACGCCGACGACGACGATGACGGCGGCGGCAACGGCAACGGCGACGGCGGCGGCGGCGGCGACGACGACGGAAGAGCCTTGTTCGACTGCTATCCGCGTGTGCTTAGGAGGAGATGCGGAGGAGAAGGAGGAGAAGGAGTATGAAGAGACGAGGAGAAGGGAGAGAAGGAGGAATAATAACGAGGAGGAGAATGAGGAAGAAGAAATGGGTCGTGGATGAAGGGGAGGTGGCAGAAACGGAAGACGAGGAGGGACGCGATGGAGAGGAAGAGTGCCGAAGAGAACATGGCAGGAGGAAGAGGAAGGCTGATGCCGAAGAAGAGGAGGTCGTCTTCATCCTCGCCGTCGTCATCGTCCTCGTTCTAGTATTTCCCCTCGTTTTCGTCCTCGTCCTCTTGTCTCTGCCGCCGTCGCCCCACTCTTTATCATCCTCTCCGTCCTCAGCCTCGTCCTCGCCCTCCTCGTTCTTATCTTCTTCAGCGTCGCCTTCGTCCTCATTTTCAAAGCCGTCGTCTTCGACGACGACCGTGGCCGGGGCGGCGCCTTGTTCGTCTGTTCCAGCGGCGCCCGTGCTCGCAGCAACTCCTCTGTGGGGCCGGGCCGGCGGCCTTCACCCCACGCCCGCATCGATCGCCCGCCCCCCCCCCCTCCGATCATGGAAGGCGACGGCCGACGACCGCCGACGCCGACGACGACGAACGGCGACCAGGACGCTCTCGCCTCCGCGCTACGCAAGCTCATCTCGCAAATCTGGGAAAAATTCAAGGATGGAAATAACGGCGGTTTTCAAAATACGGTTCTCGCGTTCGCCCCGCGCACATTTGCCTGAAAGTCCGCAGCAGCTTTCAGCATGGACGGGGTGGTCTTCTCTTCAAAATGGGGCTCTCGACCTCGCGCCGCGCATATTCGTCGTACAAAAAAAGGCTCTCACCTTCGCCCCGCGCGCATCCGTCTCGAAATATTGCCGTGACTTCAATGATCAGTGGTGGCCCCTTTTCGAAAGGAGGCTCTCGCCTTCGCGCCGCGCGAACGCTAGCTATCGTTCCCGGGGTGGACTACGCTTGGCTTCAGATCTTGACATTCGTGTGAGGTTTTCGGATTGTACAGACCTGGCACACATGTAACAATTGCACGGGTGGAAGGCGTACGTGTTGAACTTCTCAAGATGAGGTTCTCGAGTGAGACTCACTCGGCGCGCCCATGAAAAGCAGTGCCACGTCATACCAGTCCCGCGATTATGTTGAACAACACAACAACATATGATACATAAAAAGGGAACACCACTGGATCTCACGTTGGCATATATGGTCATACCTCTGCGTGTTCCATCTTACTCGGTGGCAGGATGCACCGCAATTCCTTTTCAAAGCGAGACTCTAGGCTGCCCATTGCGCGATGGTCTTTCAAGAGGGCGCATCTTGTTCTCGTTGTTCCTTACAATTCGCGGTGGTTGTTTAAGCTTGTTTTGCTAGTCCGTCGGCTAGCCAGAGCAGTTCGGTGCACCCCTTGCCATGTTTTTACGAGGCCACCCGCGATAGCTAGCATCACTCACTCCCACTCCGGCCTTCCAAAAAGGATCCGTCACCACCTGGACCAAGCCACTATGGAAGAAAACGCCGCGCTCCAAGACCACACAAGGATGCGGTGCACAGGCGGCCTGCTCGGGAGCGCCAACAAACCGCACTCTCCCCTCCAGCCCCCGCGCCTCCGCCACATGTCGATGTCGACGGGTAGCAGCACACATGCGAGCGTGAATCTGCTGGTAAGCACTCCCAGCAAACAGGCGATGGCGGCGGCAATTCCGTACAAACATAAACGCATCAATTCGCCGGCCCAACGGGCCAGAGGCGTGCTAAGATCTCCGGTAACTGGTTAACAATTGTATTGTACTAGTTCGCGCGCGCGGGGCGGCCCCTGGGGGTCCCCCGGCGAAAAGTACCCCGCCCGCCGCCTGGGAAGGTCCCGCCCGGTTCAACTCAGAGATGGTTTTCCTTCTGGGTGCGGCCTCTCAGGCCGCCCTGAGCGCGCCAAGAGTGCCCCAAGAGGCCCCCAAGATTGCTCAAGAGGCCCCCGAGACGTTCAAAGAGCGCTCCAAGGCGCCGAAGATGACCCCAAGACGGCCCAAGAGACCCCCAAGACAGCCGAAGAGGCCTTCAAGACGCCCCAAGAGCCTTCCAAGAGGCCTCCGAAGAGAGCCCCAAGAGGCCAAAATCGTTGATTTTCATTGGTTTTTCCGATGTTTTTTGCGTTCTGGCTTTTTCGGCTTCCGGACGCTCCAAGACGACCCAAGAGGCGCCCAAGATCGCTCCAAGACGGCCCACGAAGCTCCCAAGACGGCCCCGAAACGGCCCAAGAGGGCCCCCAAGACGGCCCAAGTGCCGCCCAAGACGGACCAAGAGGCCCCAAGACGGGCCCAAGAGGGGCTCAAGAGGGATACAGAGAACTGAAAAATCGAGCCCTCCGCCCCAGAAGGCGCCCAGGAGGCCCCAAAAAGGCCCCAAGAGGCCCCCAAGAGGCCCCCAAGACGCCCCAAGAGGCGCCCAAGAGGCCCAAAAGAGGCCCCAAGAGGCCCCAAAAAGGCCCCCAAGAGGCCGCAAAACTCGGCTAGCCCGCAACGGTGCGACAATATGGGCCGGCGGAATGAGCGAAGCGATTAATAATTGCAACAGCTATCATCAACACCGTGCGAGGGCGGCCGAATGTCAGGAGCAAGGAAAAGGAGGGAGGGGATTCAGAGAATGGGGGCACCATTTCGCCGAACCATCGTTTACAAATCCAATAGCATCCAGGCTACTTGGAGTTGTCACCAATGCCATCGAGATCGACCACCGTGGGATCATACGTGGGAGCAGCAACCAGAGGGACAACCATGATATTCGGTGTGAGAGTGGACAGACGTGTTGGCACCGCTTGCGCGATCAAGAACAAATAGTAAGGCCCAGGTAGGGCACAGTCTTACTAACCACAGACGCCACCGCCTTAGATAAATGTAACAGCGCACCCTCAGGAACCTCCCACGTCGACTTCCCTCGTCCGAACCAATAAATACAGAGCAGCATCGTGAGTAAACTCTCGAGACGGCAGTAGGTTCCGACAAACCACAGCTTGGAAAGCTTACCATCAAGCGGTGCCGCATTGGGCGAGACAGAAACGACGCCAAGGACCCTCCTATACGTCTTCAGCACAGCAGGCATGAAACTGTGCTTCGACCAGCCAGCCATCGCGAGAGTAATGCATGCATCATCGCTCCGAAACAATGTCCAGGTCCTGAACTACACTCACGATGTCCGAGCACCCAGCAGACACACGGGACTTCGGACTTCGAGGTACGACGTCCAAGTTTTTATACGGTCCAGAGGCAACCAAGGACAACGGATTCGTGATATTATCATAACTGACATTGTAATGGGGCCCGGAAAACAGCAGCTGAAAAAAACGGCGCCCTTATACGCGGCAGTTTCAAGGTGGCGGCTCTTGCACCAGAAAGGCTTGCAGGGACTTCTGAAGAGGTGACTTGGGACGGGGGGGCGAGTTGAAATTTCGTTGATGAAGATTGGGTTTGCTCTGGTCCTCCTCGTACGGTGTTTCTCGCCAGATTAGAAACATTGCTAGTTCATATGTTTATTCGGTCAAGACGTTTCCGATGTCTCGACATGGTGCTCCCGCTGCAGGAGGTGGCCTGTTCTACGGTCGGCATGTTGCCCCCGTCGGTCAGACTCGAACTCTCGCCCAAGCGCGGGCAACTTTTGTGGATCCGAGCCCTTCCTTATTGTTGTCGCTTCGCTATTTTCCCTTCCTCCGCTTTCCCCGGGTCATGCTGCTGACCCCGCTCCTCCCACTCCTGCCTCTGCTGCTGCCTTTTCTCCTCGTCCTCCTTTTTCCTCGCGCTCCCCCTCTTCCTCCTGCTATTTTTCCTGCTCATCCGACCTCCTCCTCCAGTGGATTCAACATCTGTCTCCCTTCCTCCTCCTCCTCCTCCTCCTCCTCCTCCTTCGACTCCTCTCTTTCTCTCTCCTTCCTCCTCCCCCTCACGCCCCTCCCCCTTGGCGATACCAGTGTACCTTTTTAGTCGCGAGTCACTCAATGCCGGAGTTGACGCGTTTCTGTCCCGGACCTCTTGCCCCGTTCCCCTCGGCCCAGGTCCCGCTGAAAACTCGTGTGGAGGACGTTCACGTCTTATTCCCAAGATCTGCGAGAGCTCCTGAATAAGGTGTGGTGCTTCCCTTTTTCCTTCTTCTCCCCATCCCCCTCCTTCTCTGGCCCCGATCAGTCCGCGCATAGTTTCAACCCTTTCCTTTGTTATTCCCCACATGCTTCGTGGGGTTCTGGTTTTCTTCCCTGCCGCGTCGCACCCGCGTCTCACCTCACACCTCCCCTCCTCCTCACAGCACTGCTCAGCACAGCTTGGTCTCTCACCGCGGCGTCTATGCGTGCCAGGGTCGGAGAGCGTGGCAGGCGTGGCACTTTCTCGACAGCAGGGGGGGTGCGTAGGGGGTGGTCTCTCACCGCGGCGTCTATGCGTGCCAGGGTCGGAAAGCGTGGCAGGCGTGGCACTTTCTCGGCACCAGGCGGGGTGCGCAGGGGGTGGTCTCTCACCGCGGCGTCTATGCGTGCCAGGGTCGGAGAGCGTGGCAGGCGTGGCATTTTCTCGACACCAGGGGGGGTGCGCAGGGGGTGGTCTCTCACCGCGGCGTGCCAGGGTCGGAGAGCGTGGCAGGCGTGGCACTTTCTCGACACCAGGGTGCGCAGGGGGTGGTCTCTCACCGCGGCGTCTGCGTGCCAGGGTCGCGTGGCGTGTTGGGCGGTGCGTGCCAGGGTCGGAGAGCGTGGCAGGCGTGGCACTTTCTCGACACCAGAGAGGGTGCGCAGGGGGTGGTCTCTCACCGCGGCGTCTATGCGTGCCAGGGTCGGAGAGCGTGGCAGGCGTGGCACTTTCTCGACACCAGAGAGGGTGCGCAGGGGTGGTCTCTCACCGCGGCGTCTATGCGTGCCAGGGTCGGAGAGCGTGGCAGGCGTGGCACTTTCTCGACACCAGAGGGGTGCGCAGGGGGTGGTCTCTCACCGCGGCGTCTATGCGTGCCAGGGTCGGAGAGCGTGGCAGGCGTGGCACTTTCTCGACACCAAGGGGGTGCGCAGGGGGTGGTCTCTCACCGCGGCGTCTATGCGTGCCAGGGTCGGAGAGCGTGGCAGGCGTGGCACTTTCTCGACACCAAAGGGGGTGCGCAGGGGGTGGTCTCTCACCGCGGCGTCTATGCGTGCCAGGGTCGGAGAGCGTGGCATGCGTTGCACTTTCTCGACACCAGAGAGGGTGCGCAGGGGGTGGTCTCTCACCGCGGCGTCTATGCGTGCCAGGGTCGGAAAGCGTGGCAAGCGCGGCACTTTCTCGGCACCAGGCACTTTCTCGGCACCAGGGGGGTGCGCATGGGGTGGTCTCTCACCGCGGCGTCTATGCGTGCCAGGGTCGGAGAGCGTGGCAGGCGTGGCACTTTCTCGACACCAGGGGGTGCGCAGAGGGGTGGTCTCTCACCGCGGCGTCTATGCGTGCCAGGGTCAGCGTGGCAGGCGTGGCACTTTCTCGACACCAGGGGGGTGCGCAGGGGGTGGTCTCTCACCGCGGCGTCTATGCGTGCCAGGGTCGGAGAGCGTGGCATGCGTGCACTTTCTCGACACCAGAGAGGGTGCGCAGGGGGTGGTCTCTCACCGCGGCGTCTATGCGTGCCAGGGTCGGAAAGCGTGGCAAGCGCGGCACTTTCTCGGCACCAGGCACTTTCTCGGCACCAGGGGGGTGCGCATGGGGTGGTCTCTCACCGCGGCGTCTATGCGTGCCAGGGTCGGAGAGCGTGGCAGGCGTGGCACTTTCTCGACACCAAAGGGGGTGCGCAGAGGGGTGGTCTCTCACCGCGGCGTCTATGCGTGCCAGGGTCGAAAAGCGTGACAGGCGTGGCACTTTCTCGACACCAGGGGGGTGCGCAAGGGGTGGTATTTCACTGCGGCGTCTATGCGTGCCAGGGTCGGATAGCGTGGCAGGCGTGGCACTTTCTCGACACCAGAGGGGGGGCGCAGGGGGTGGTGTCCCTATGCGGGCCAGGGTCGTCCAGGCATTGCAGGCGTTGCATTTTCTCAACGCCAGAGGGGGTGCGCAGGGGGTGGTCTCCCTATGCGTGCCAGGGTCGTCCAGGCATAGCCTCTAGTGCGGGATTGCGTATTACCTCTCGTATCCAAGTGCCAGGCGACGCCGGATATGACCGTCACAGATGACTCCTCAACCCCTCCTCTTCCCCCACACGTCCTCCCCGTCTTTTCAACGACCACAGGGGGCACCTGAGAGCATGACGGCGGTGGTAGTGGTAGCGCGGCTCACACAATACATAAAATCAGTATGTGGGGCTCCTCGGTCGCGTAATTTGTCCGCCGCGCGCTGACCGAGCGTGGCGCAGCAGGAAGCCGCGCCCATAGCGCCGAGGCGCCGTGCCCAGGACAGGCCACCTGCACCGAATTAGGGAAGGGGGGAGGGGAGGGCCCCCACGACCCCGGCCAGCACAGGGGAGTGCGCGGCAGCGGGGTGGTGGGGGGCGTAGCCTCCTTGAACGTCATCGGCAGCGCGCACCTCAGACCAGGAGGTGCCACTGACCACTCTGTACACCCTAGGGGAGCGGGTGGGCCCGGGCAGCACTGCTTGCCCACTGTGGCGGGCATTCTGAAAATAGTTTCTCCAATCCTTTCCAGCTTGCGATTGCTTGAACTTGATTTCGTGTTCACGCGCCAGACGGCATATGGCTTGTGAGTGAATGAACTCCGTCATGACACCAGTCGACGGAAAACTAAATAATCAGCGCAACAAGAAGGTATGGGTGGGAGGGGTTGGATGCAATATATAGCGCGAGCACCTAACTTGTCCCTCTCTCTCCCTCGTCGTCCCGCTTCTGCTGGCAAAGCTCAAAACCTTGCTGCCCCCATCCCGCTGTAGGCTTATATGCAGACGCACGTACACACCTATATACATATACATGTAACGTATACGGCTTCATACATATATATAGATCCTTCCCTACATCATGATCCTCCTTCTCCTATTTTCCGCCATCTACCCCCCTTCTACACAACGTCTCCCCCCCCACACGAAGGGCGAGCTAAGCGCTTCGCCCTATATCCCTTCAACGTTTGCCACCTTGAAGCCTGAAACTTCTAACAGCTACACAGATGAACGGCGGTCCACTTTCAAAACGGGACTCTCGCCCCGGCGCCACGCACACTAGTCTCAAACACATCTAACATACTCACGGAAGAAGGGCAGCACCTTTCCAAACTGGGACTCTCGCTTGAGACACCCTTACCATATATTACCAGGAGTGCTGTTCATCGTGCAACAGCTATACGTCTTGATGGCGGATCCTGTCCAACATGGGGTTCCCGCGTGAGACTGGATGAAACTGGGTGGCCAGAAGTGTAATGCGGCGCACCAGGTGCACGGATGGAGGGCAGCTCCTTTTCAAAGCAGGGCTGTCGCTTCACACTTCCTGCGGCTTTATGCTCCAACCTCGTCGTATTCCTTTCTTGTAGGGAAACACGTGGGAAATCCTTTCCAAAACGGGGATCTCACCTGACTGCGTCTTGCACGGGGGGGGCTCCAAGCGGTGAAAGGAGTGCCGGTATGGACTTGTGCGGAAGGGGCTTGAAACAGGAGTGTGTATCGCGGCATCGCTGGTACATCTCAAGTTTGCTCGGGCTATTCTCCTCCTCGACTTCCTGTTTCGTTCGCGACGTTGTCATGTTGCACGACGCCCGACCCCAGCCCCCATCTCGCTGCTGTTCCTGGTGGGCCTGCGCGCCGCACGGCGCCTCAGGCCTCTGGGAAACCGTTCGCCAGCGGGGCCGACACAGAAGCAACGCAGAAAGGCGCCAACCACACACCGCCTCCGTCTACGCCCTCGGGTCCACCTCCTTCTAACGAGGACCGCTCGGGCGCGGCTCCTTCATGCAGTCCAGGTGCCCCCGCTCCGCGGTGAGAGCCAGCGGCGTCTTCCCGCTCCTGCGCCAGGTCGTCGTCGTCGTTTGGAGCGGGTGGCCTCGTCGTCGTCGTGGTCGTGGTCGTCGTCGCCCTCGTCGTCGTCATCATCGTGGTCTTCGTCGCCGCCATGGTCGACGTTCTTAGTCGGCGGCGGCGTCGGCGTCGCCGACGTGGTCGTCGTGGCCTGGCGTCGGCGTCAGCGTCGCTGCTGGCGTCGTTGTCAGCATCGCCGTCGATGGGGAAGAGAAGAGAAAGAGAGAGAGAGAGAGAGACAGGAGGAACACCAGAAAGAGAAGGAATATAACGCATGAGGACGAGGAGTTGTAGGGAAGCAAGATGAGAAGAGAAGACAGCATGGCGAAGGGGATGAAGTCGGTGAAGGAGGGAGGCTGGGGATATGGAACGCGGGACGGAGGTGTACGGGGTAATTCTAAAATTTTTGAACCAGTTATGAGCGTTTCTTACAGGGCGTCTTCCCATGATGTTCGATTATGAACGTGTTGCACGAATTCTGAGGGTATCTTATGATTATCTTCCTCCCCACCTTCCTCGTCCTCCTCATCATCCTGATCATCCTCCTCCTGAGCCCTCCCCTTCCTCTTCCTCGTCCTCCTCTTCCTGAACTCATCCTTTGTCTTTCTTATCTTCCCCAGGCCCCGAAAGGCCCCAATCTCTCGCAACGCATCGACCCTCGGTCCTAAATCCTCGAGCCCTCCTCATGCTTCGTCTCCTCCAACGCCAGCTCGCGCAGGGGGCGCGCGCGGGGGTGGATTAGCAGACTGGCGAACTGACACCCATCTATAAGGCTGAGGCGACCATCAACTAAAGGCAAGAGTTGGATGTTCCATCTATCGCAGTGCCACGAAACACTTGCACTCATGCCCGATGGCTTCCCCGACAGTCAGCCACATCCGTAACATGACGGATAAGACCGAAGCCTTCTGTTTCGACGTGGGAGCTCCCCTGGAGCAAGAGACGATCACTTGTCACGGTCGGTCGACCCGTCCACGTGTGCCCGAGAGGCCCAACGATGAAGTCGTGGCCGAGCCTCGAGAAAATGCTGGGACTGAATATTACCAGTCTGCTTGTAAACTTCGGTTGCTTGGGCTGCCTCCTGGCGCTTGAGCAGCAGTAAAAAGTGCAGGGGGCTGGGGTGGCCAGGGGGAAACCCTGGAGGGGAAGGGCGGCAACGACAAGTACGAGTAAGTCCCCACCCCGCTGAGAGCTGAACCCAACGCCTGGGCCCGCGTCTTCCCTTCGCCCACACAGGTGCTGGGGCGGCCGTAGGATGGCCACTATCCGACCAAGGGGACCAAGGGGCGCAACAATTGCCCAACCCGCCGACGGGCTGCGCCGCAATTCCCAAAGAGGAAGGGAAGGAGGGGCGGGGGAACTGGAGGTCTCTGGATGTCCCTGGAGGCCGCCCCCGAAGCAACTCCTGGTGGGCTGGCCGAGCCGTGCAAGAAAGCGACGGCCCAAACACCGCAGCAACATACGCCTCCTGGCGCAGTCCAAGCGCCAGTACAACCTGCTGCATTACCAGCACACTGACCACATATGTCAACGCCACCTGATGTGGTTTAAACCATGTCATGGCAGCAGTGCAGGGGCCCACGCTCGTCCGCATGGATGACGTGACGCATAGTAGAGATTTTGTTGAGGGCCCACGGACAAACCCTGACAATCTTCCTGGCCTATGTCGTCCCGCTGTGGAGGCCCAAAAACAAAGCGTTGATGGGATCCTTGGCACCCGACCGCCAGCAGGAGGGATGCATGGCACCGCACATCCGGACCTTCCTGGCCTGTGTCGCCTCGCTCTCGAAGCCCAGCCCAGGATTGAGAGTGAGGTGCCGAGCACCTCGCCACCAGCGGGATGATGCATGGCACCGCGCCTCAGGTCGGGCCCTCTGAGGGGAGCAAGGGTGAGCAGTCTCCGAGCCAGCAATCGTTACTGCCGGGGAGAGCTAGAACCCAGATGAGTGCCTGCCCTCTGAGAAGCCTGACACCTGACACAAAGAGCGCTTCCGAAACCGTTCAGTTGTTTCCGTGGAGCTGGGGGGGCCGGGAAACCCTGGCGAGGCCTGGAGCTCGACGGGCTCGTCTATATAATCGGCGGCTCGCGTAATTGGCCCTCGGAGGGGCCGCTCCGTGGCTCGCATGGCATGGGCCATCTGAACATAATGGTCGGGCTTGCAAGGGGAGCCGCGGGGTGGGGCGCCGCCTACGGGAGGTCACAAGTGGGGCTCGGCCCGCGGGAGGGCTCTCGACCGTGCCAGGGCTCGCGGCTCGGCGCAGGGCGCGCCGCGCGACCTGTGGGACACAAAGCGTTTCCAAACGCATTCAGATGTTTCCGTGGAGCTGCGGGGACCAGGGGACCCCCACCGAGGAGGAAGGGGGGCAAGAGGGAAAAATAGGGAAGAGGAGGGATGATGAGCATGAGGAAGACGACGACGGCGACGGCCTCCTCCCGCGAATTCGTTGTCCTCCCGCAACGACGACGACGACGACGATGAATACGACGACGACGAATACGACGACGATGGCGTCCGGAGGCCTCCAGTCTCCAGATGTCTCCAGAGGTCGCCGAGGCCCCCCCCAGAAGTCTCCAGAGTGCACAGAAAGAACCAGAAACGTCCGAACACCTCGATCCTCCCGCCTCGGCTCAGACAACGACGACGGCACAGGCCAGTGGAGGCGCTTTGCTTCAACTTCTCCCTCGTCCCCCTCCTCGTCCTCGTCCTCGTCCTCGTCCTCCTCCTCCTCCTCCTCCTCCTCCTCCTGGCTTCCCTCGCTCCTTCCCGCTCTCCATGGTTCCGCCGCCTCTTCCTCCCCTCCCACCTCCCACCTGCCTGCCTCCCCTAGCTCCCACCTCCTCTTCCTCCTCCTCCTCTGCTTCCGCCTCCTCCTCCTCCCCTCCTCCTCATCCTCCCCTCCTCCTCCTCCTCCTCCTCCTCCTCTCCTCCTCCTCCTCCCTCCTCCTCCTCCTCCTCCTCCTCCTCCTCCTCCTCCTCCTCCTCCTCCTCCTCCTCCTCCTCCTCCTCCTCCTCCTCCTCCTCCTCCTCCTCCTCTTCTCGCAGGCACAGCAGGACAGCCCGGCGGAGGCACGGCGAGAACCCGTTGCCCTCAGGCGATGCCCTGCTCTGCAGCAGGGTGACGACGGTGGACTGGTGGCCCTGTGGCGGAAACCGCAGTCGCCACCGCCATCGCAAACCGTCGCCGTCGTCGGCTCGGCATCAGGCGGGAATCGGAGGCGCCGTCGCCGTCGCCGTCGTCGTCGTCCTCGTCCTCGTCCCCGTCCTCGTCCTCGTCGTCGTCGTCGTCGTCGTCGTCGTCGTCGTCGTCGTCGTCGTCGTGGTCAGCCTCGTCGTCGTCGTCGCCGTCCACTCCCCTCCAGTCCCTCCCCAACTTCCGCCTGTCGTATTTCCTCCCCGCCCTTTTGGCTAGCGCTGCACCACTTCACTCTGATGATGCTTTGCGTTGGGTCCTGAGCCCAGCTAGTCACTGTTAAATGCCGTGGTGGACGCACGCGCGGTGGTCCCACCACCGCCGCTGGCTACCTCTGTAGGGCGCGCGGCGTATGGCGCAGGACACGCCTCTGCGGTCGCGCGCGGCCGCACCAGTCCACAGAGAGCCAGGAGGTGGATTCTGACGGGGACGAGTCAGGAAAAGAGACAGTACAGCAAAATAGAGCGTGTGGTACAGCAAGTTGACGTAGGACCACGAGCGACGGTCGGCGTCTTTCCTACCGTAGAGGTCGTAACTGTCAAGATGTGAAGTCTCGACAGAGGCGCGCCACTTGTCAAGCGATCAAGCAATCACACACATCAAATAACTTCAAGCCCACTTTTGATGCACAGCGCGATGAAACCAAAGATGAGGAATGGTACGAGCATGAGTCGTTCGACACACTGAAGACTGAGGCAACGGCCACCGCGGGGACGTACAAATTTTCCCAACGCCGTGCGTCCCGTCATCATGTAGTGACCACTGGGTAAAGAGTGCAAGAAACCCAAGTGCCCTTCTTCCCATCCAACACGATGCAACGTAGTGTGACCGTACGTGATGGTTCTGCTGCCGCGGGCCAGACAGCGACGCTCACCTCCGCACCAAATCATACCAAAATCCTTATCGCAGCCTATTCGAGTCTGAAATTCGGTTCGCTACGAGCTAAGAGGGCGGGTGGGACTTGCGACCCACCCAGGCGCGGCGGAAGACTGAACGATCCCTTGAGCCCGGAGGCTTCTCCCCGCCCTTCCTGTCGTCCGCCCTTCCAATCTCTGATCATTCCTGACGCTTCCTAGCCTCACGATGGCAGGACGAGGTGCCCTCCAAATCCTGCCTCCACGGCGGTGGGCAGAGCAGTTAGAAATGAATGGTAATTTGTTGGAACACGCCAAATCCCACCAGCCGTTTAGGGCGTGAGTGGTTTAGCGGGCTTCCTCTTTCAACCCCCTGCTTCCCCTTCGGCGAGGGCTTTATCACTAGTCCCTATTAATGAACATCCCTTCCCCCGCTGAACGGCAGCCATCCTGGACCCATGCGACACCCATGCCCCCCCTACCACCCTTGTCAACATAACCATACAACATACACTGTGCCTCCAAGTCTGGATCATGTGCGGGCGCCCCGCGACCACTTTGCATTGGTTTTTGACGGGGACTGAAGGGGTGCCAGCAAACTGCTTGCTGCGCGCAGGCCAACACTCCCGCCCCACCATCCACTGCACAAAACAATACCAATTACACTTGCACCAAAATCTGAATCATGGGCGGACGCCCCGCGATCATACTGCATTGATCTTTGACAGGGATGGCCGTGGCGCTGGCAGACTGCCTGCTGCATTCATGCCCACAGACGATTTCTTCAACAGGGGAGACAACTACATCATTTTGCCAGGGACAGCGGGTGGGGGGGACGGCAAGCTGCCTACTGTGCGCAAGCCCACCAAACAAACGCAAAGCGATCGTGGGTGCACACCCGAACACAACAGACCCGCCTCTACTTTGCATGGGCTTGGGAGGGTCGGCATATTGCCCAATGTGGCGCACCTGGCACGCGCGGTTCAGGTGGCATGTGTGGCGCAAGTCACGGGCTTCGCGCACCAGGCTGGCGCCTGCATTGGTTCCCGATCGCTGTCGATGGCGGCCCCTGTCCAAGCTAAAAGCTGTTGTGAGGGCGGGTGGGAATGAGCGAGACGACTTGTTGCTTGTGGGTGCCTTGACCTCTCCCCCTCCCCCTTCCCCCTGGGTCTGGAGGGGGTGGTTTCACGAGTCTTTGGAAAGTCCAAAATGGCATCGGCGAGAAGGCAAACATCATTGATTTCACTTAGGTTGTGGGCCCATTTTGGCCTCCTGGCCGCCTTCTTCGATCGACCTCCTCCAAGATGGCTCCATGATGCCCCCGAGGATCCCAAGAACACGCCAAGAGGGCCCTAAGAAGCGCCCAGGACGACCCAAGAGGCCTCCAAGACGTCCCCAAGAGGCTCCCAAGCGACCCTCCAGAAGCCCCAGAAGGCTCCCCCGAAGCACCCAAGACATTCAAGAGGCCCCAGGGACCGCCAAGAGGCCATCAAGCAGGCCGCAGAGGCCTACAAGAAACTGTCAAGAGACGTCCGAAGAGACTCCGAGAGGCATCCAAGGTACCTCTGGCCTTTCTGTTCGCCCTCTTTCTCCTCCACCTCCTCCTCCTCCTTCCCCCCCCTTCTCCTCCTCTTCCTCGTCCTCCTCCTACTCCTACTCCTCCTCCTCCTCCTCTTCCTCATCCGCCCCTCCCTCCTCCTCCTCCCTCCTCCTGCCTCCTCCTGCCTCCCTGCCTGCCTCCTCCCCTCCGTCCTCCCTCTCCCTCCTCCACCCTCCTCGTCCTCGTCCTCCTCCTCCTCCTCCTCGTCCTCGTCCTCCTCCTCCTCCTCCTCCTCCTACTCCCCCCCTCTCCCACCTCCTCCTCGTCCTCCTCCTCCTCCGATTCATCCTCCATTCTCCCGGTCTTGGGGTATGACGTCTTACCCAGCCCTTTATCCCACTGCGTGCTTCCCCACATCCCTGATCAAGGCAACTCCTCTAGGCAGTGTTTCTGGATGGGCTGGTGAGGTTACGCGACGCGTCTGAAATATAGACCTGCACAGAGACTGGCCAGGCCCATCTTGAGCCCAGGATCAGTGTATACGCCCTCCTGGCTTGGCCAAGGCGGCGTTTGCATTGATACTGGGCCCACAGTGGGCCCAGGTTGGGCCTCCTCAGTCGGCGCTTCCTGAAGTTAGGCCCTCCAATTCAACTCCCCCCCCCGACTGAAACACGATGGAAACGAGCAGAGTGTAGCATCCTCGGCTGGGGAGTGCACGGGGACGGGGTGGAGGCGAAAGGTCAATGGGGAGGAATGGGGGAGAAGACGACGACCCCCAGAGGTCTCAAGAGATCTCTGGAGGTCTCCGGAAGCTCAGCAAGCCCGAAAAGCCAGACCGAGTTCCAAGCCTCGAACCTCCAACCTCGATCCCCTTTCTCATCCTGGTTCCCCCTCCTCGATCCTCAATCCTCCTCGATTCTCAACCCTCGAACCTCGATCCTTCGCCTGCTCTGTTAACATAAGCGGCGGCGTCCCCAATCTATCTGCAACAAGTGGCAGAGTGAACGGGCCAAGCCAGAAAGAGGGATTATGGGAAACGGCATGTGATCCCTTGTGAAACATTCCCCGACTCGTGGTTGCACTTCGGGGTTCGCGCATGCTTTACTCAAAGAACTAAATGGAATGCTCTGTTTTTTCACGTTGGCGCCAGTGTCCGCTCGTAAGTTTCCCGAGGTTTCGCTTCGTTGGCGTGCCTGCTCCTGGGAGCCTCGTGGGTTTCCAGCGGATTCGCCGAGTTGGCGCCCGAGCCCGCTCGTGGGCGGCGCGTAAGCGCGCGGTGCGCTGGGTGAGATCCCCGAGATTTCGCCGCGTTGGGGCCCGTGCCCGCTCGCGGGCGCCACGTGGGCGCCACGTGCGCTTACACCACATAGCTTGCACGACCTAGCTTGCACCACATGGCTTACACCGCAGAACATTGAACAACATAGCTTGCGCGACATAGCTTACACCCCAAAACGTTCACCCGATAGCTCGCACCACATAGCTCACACAATACGGCTCGCACAGCATAGCTCACACCATCTGAATCAATCTAAGCATAAACATATTTAGGTGTATATATCTGTATGTATGTATAGATGTGTATGTGTGCATATATGTATATAAATACATATATATATATATTGCTACCTGCGCGTGGGCAGTCAGGGCAACCCACGTAGGACACCAGCGGGGGGACAAATGTAGAACCCAAACTTGTGAGGCATTGTTGTTCCTGAACCTGCCCGTGGGTGGATACATAACATTGCGCCTTCATCGTAGCTAACACATGAAAGCTCATACTGCCTATATTACACAGCACAGCTTACACCACATTTCGCACACCCCAAACCTTGCACCACATATATTTCGAACCACGTAGCTTACATTGGCATTACTCACACCGCAAAGCGTATGTCACATAGCTAGCACACCATAGCGTGCACATTATCGCTTGTCTGTTCACATGTGTTAGTATATATATGTGTGTGTGTGAACACACATACGCATACGGATGCACAACTAGCAACACGCAGACATAAATATATGTAACTATGAATGTGCGTACACAGGAACACATGACGTGTGAAGGACAGGAGGGCGACGGCGAAATATGGGCAGGAGCTAACTACGGCTCTCGTACGATCACACTCCACTAAGCCCCCCCACAAACTCACAAACAAATCGAGGTTTGCGCAGTTGGCACCAACGAGAGAGGCGAGGTCTCTCGCTTGGGTCCCTGTAGCACCGCCTACGAATGCACCTCCCACAACCTCGCTGAAGTGGCGACTGATGCGCAGTTGGTAATACCCAGTGAGGGCGAAGTCTCGTTCGGGTCCACGTCAGACGTCGTGCCGTGGAACTGCGAGCTCAGAGAGGGCGCGTTTCACGGGCGCTTGCCTTGGGAACATTCGGCTGCGCGTTTCGAACCAAGGGGGGGTTCCCCCCCATCATTCCCCCCCAACATTCGGCGCCGTCGATCAGAACCGACTTCCCTCCCCCCTAACCGCGCCCCCCTCCCTCCCCGACACCCCCCCTGGGCGCCGTCGTCGGCGCCGGCGCTGGCGGCGGCTGGTAGCGCCGACAGCGCCCACGGCGGGGACGCAGCGACATTGACCAGAGATGGCCCAGAGGCCGCAGATTGGAACATCAAATCGCCATATCGAGCCCTCGCCCCCCAAAAGCCACCCGTAGGCCCTTAGCCCTTAGGAAGGTCCAAGAGACGCCCAAGAGGCGCCCAGGAATCTTCACAAATGCTCCTCAGACGCCCCCGAGACTCCTCTGACGAGACCCCAAGAGGCATCCATTAGAACTCTGACCAAAAGCCAAGGCAAAGTGGCGGGAAGACCAAAAGGCCACACCGCCACCACCACCTTTCAAACCACCACATCACCACCACCACCGCCACCACTACCACCACCACAACCACCACCACCCACCACCACCACAACCACCACCACCACAAACCACCACACCACCACCACCACAACCCACCACAACCCACCACAACCACCACCACCACAAACCACCACACCACCACCACCACGAACACCGCCACCACGACCACCACCACCACAACACACCCCCACCACCACAAACCACCACACCACCACCACCACGACCACCACCACCACCACCACCACCACCACCACCACCACAAACACCACCCACCACCCAACAGCACCACCGCCACCACGACCACCACCGCCACCACCACCACGAACACCACAGCACACCACTACCACCACCACCACAAGTCACAACGCCACCACCACCACCATCACCACCACCGCCACCACCACCACCACCACCCCCACCACCACTACCACCACCACCACCAAAACCCACCACCACCACCACCGCCATCACAACTACCACCACCACCATTCCACAAGCACCACCACAAAAGCCAACACCACCACCACCACCACCACAAGAACCCACCACCATCACCACCACAACAACACACCACCACTACCACCACCAGCACCACCACCACCTCCACAACTCACCACCACCACTACCGCCACCAGTGGAACCTCCACAAACCACCACACCACAACCACTACCATCACGACCACCACCATTACCGCCACCACCACAACCACTACCACAACCCACCAACGTCACCACCACCACAAACCACCAAGGTAACCGAAGATGGTTCATGATAACTGCCGCTATGCCTCCGAGAGGCCCCAAGACGGCACCTAGAGCCCCTGGAGCCTGGAGCCCGGAAAGGACCCCCAAGAAGCCCAGATCCTCCAAACACATAGTTGTGCTAATGTGGTTTGCGTTCTCGCCTTTTCGCTTCGGATGGGCTCTTAGGCTTCGAGATTGCTCGAAGATTGCCCAAAGAGAGCCACTAAGAGGGGCCCAAGATCGCCGCAAGAGCGCCCCAAGCGGGCCCTAAGAGGCATGAGTTCTGCCTCCCAAGGGGGAGGGGGGGGGCTGATTTCAGGGACTCGACGTTTTGATCGCTTGCCTCCAGGGTGGCCACAAGAGGCCCTCAAGGGTCCCAAAAATAACACCCAAAGAGGCCCAACATGGCCCCAAGGTAAACCCAAGAGAACCCAATAGACTTCCAAAACAGCCCCAAGATGCACAGTTGCATGTGGATGTCGTTAAACCGTTCCAAGGGCCCACAAAAGTAGCGTCATCTGCGAAGTTACCACGCATGGAGGCGGGAGAGGGAGGGACAATACTGCTGGATTCGCGACGCTGGCCCGACACAAGACAGTTGGGGATGACACTCGGTCTCGATCCTCGAACCTCGACCCTCGGACAGTCTCCCCATCCGCCCCCACAAAAAGGGCGGCGACGGTCAGGCCCGAGCTCCGGCAACAGAAGCGGCCGCGCCTTGCAGCACGCCCAGGCGAGCGCGTCGTAACCCTGGTCGTCCGCCACCCGCAGGTCGGCCCCGCACTTGGCGGCGACGCCGCCGCCGCCGACACTGACGACGCCAACGCCGACGACTGCTGCAACGGCGTGGGTATGTACAGTCTGACGGTGGACACGGAATCCGAGCATGCCCTGCGCTGTGAGTTTTTCCGATTATGTTCTTGCTGCTGCGCTCGTTGCACGGGTCCCGTCAGCCCATGTGCCGTCGATGTACCGCCTGGTCACGGCACTTGGTTGAGCGACAAGTTGCTGTGCCCGGGCGCACAGCTCGATCGGATTCGTGGAGCCTCCTTGTCGGATGCGTCAATGAGGGGAAGCGGGGCCCAAAATATCTGCCAGAATGAAGCTCCCTCTCCGCTCTTAACTCATCAAATGCGCTGCGGGCCAGGTGAGGAGCGGGCTTGCACTTCTGCCAGGAACCAAGCCTTTGACGGCGCGCATTGGCGTCACATACATTACAAAACAATATGGCGTCTTGGTTCCCATCGGCATGGCACCCCCGCCACGACGACGACCCCACAGATCACGACGACCGCGAACGTCCCAGAACGGTGGGAAACGCCCACCATGGCAGCAGGTCAGGGAAAATACCGGGGCACGGGACAGCAACCCGTGGCACTGCGGATTCAATACTTCAGACATCCCCAGGCTCGTCTGAACCTTTCTCAGGTGTGCCCATTCGGAGAGCTCTCGAACACCAACTGCGAGCCTACGCGGGCGTCGACGCCTCGGCAAAGTGCCCATGTCGGGCCAATCCAGACTCGCGATCTGTTTTAACATCACTCCATGGTGTATAAGAGTTTGAGCCGCCCCTTCGCGGGCAGCCGCGAACATTGTCTCTCACGCACGGCTCCTTCTTTTCTCCCCCGTTCCGATCCCAGCTCCTCCGCTTCCCTCCCTGGGACGCGATCGTCCTGGCGCGGGGGAGGACAGAGGTTGAGCGGGACAAGCTGCAACGTTGTGGCCAGGGCCGGACAGGGACATGTCGGGCGCACCTGTAGCAGACGTGGAGACCGTTCCCAAAACGGTTCGCAATCGACTTCTAATCGAGACCACATCGGTTCCAGATCGAGCCCAGCTTCCGAAGAAATATCAGAGAAGAGCATCTCATAGCGCCGATTTGATTCAGGCGGGCCCGCATGCTCAAGGCGTGCCACAATGCGCCGATTTTTGGCCGTCTTGGGCCCGCTGACAGCTGTCAAGAAAACATCTTCGGGATCTCTTCGGCCTCTGTTTCGGAAGTCTTGTATGCAATCCTTGTCGGCCCCTGCGGGGCCCCTTCGGACCGGTTTGGGACTCCTGGGGCCTTCTTGGGGTATTTATTTTGGGAGCTGCCTGGCACTGGGAACCTTGGCTCCTTGGAATAGTGAAGCTCGCCTGGGGCAACGTTAGAGCCGTTCTGGGCTGCCTTGCAGTCGTTCTGGGCCTCCGCTGGGATCGCCGCTGGCTGCCGCGAGAAAGGACTGGGCGGGCGGGGAACACAAAACGCAATTCGGAGTCGGCAATCGCGACGGACGGCACTTGTCTCGAGGTCGCGTGGCGTGCATTTTACTCAAGTGCATCGCAAGGGGACATCGCGATTTGCAACACGCGTGACAAATAATTGCAAAATTGCTGGTACCTGCGAGCCTCAAAAAAATATGGATAAGCAGGCGCCTGAGCACCTGTATAACCTCTGCAGGAAGCCATTCACAAACTGACGCACCCGAAACAATCCTGGAGAAAACATATGACACTCGCCGCTGTGACTAACGTCCTCCCGAGAAGGAAACGCCACAATGCGCGCTCTGACCAAGAATTTCGATCTGGATCCAGCCGTGGCGACGGAGGCGCCCCCAGAGGTCAAACAATGCCCAAAAACCTCGATCCTCGATCCTGGCTCCTAGACGATGACCATGGCGACGACGCCTCCAACAGCCACGCCAGCGCGGAGGTCTTGCCGTGCGTCGCCGCGATGTGCAGCGCTGTGGCCCCCGACTCGTCCACCGCCTCCAAGTTCGCCCTGTGGCAGGCACTCTGCTACACAGAGGCAGCCACCCACCGCAGAATCGATCCAACTGCCTGCAGAATCGGCTCGACCGAACTCGTGCCCCTTCAGTGGGGGACCACGAGGAAGAATTTAGGACCTTCCGCCGTGCGTCGCCGCGTTGTGCAGCGGCGTGGCTCCCGACTCGCCCACCGCCTGCAGGCTCGCCATATGCATGCACTGGCTGTCCAAAGGCCGCCCTCAATCAGAAATCGATCGGACCACTTTCAGAATCGGCTCGACCGTGCCAATGCCCCGTCCGCGAAAGTTGACGGAGGACCAGGGCACACCCAAGGTGGATTAACGATAATGCAATACGCCCTCCCGTCCCAAGCCTTTGAGCCCGTATAGACGTTTCGTCACTGCGGGAGGGGTCCTCTGGACAGATGAGCGCCCCGAGGGCCAACCATTCAGGAGAGATGCCCGCTTTGAAGGAAAACCCCCGCATAGTTTTACATATACAGGGCACGAATACGCACAACCCGTTTTGGAAAGAAGTCACCCTGCATCCGTGTAACTGTTCCGCGAATGTACACTTCTGCTCATGACAGTGAGGATGTCTCTAAGTACTGCCTCATATTGGAAAGGGACCGATCTCCACCAGCCTAACTGCTGCACCGCTTCACACGTCTGACAACATGTGCAGAAAGAAATTCTATGGCAAGGGCCCCATCATGGAAAGGGATCGCCCACCATCCTTGAAGCTGTTCGAAACTTGAGGGGCGAATGTTCTCTGCGCTGGGATGAGAAAAACATTTGGAACTCAACTTGCCCTCCGTCCTCGCAGCTCCCAGAAAATGCTAAACATGCGCACGGCGCCGACGCGAGAGCCACATTTTGAAACCGACTTGCCCTCCCCCCTCCCTTGGAACTATTGGGCGGTGGAACGACAGGGTTGTGCGGCACAAGGTGAGAGCCGCATTTTGACCACGACCCGCCTCCCGTCCTTGTAGCTGTTCAGAATGTCAGGCCTCAAGGCCACCAGCGGCGAAGAAGTCTCAGGTGAAATGCCCGGCCCGCCCCACCGACGTCCAGTGGAACGAAGTGGAGGAGTATCTTATCAGGAAGAATGGGGACCGTTTGGAGGACGATGATGCCGACACTCATGAACGTTCGTGGCATCTTTGGGGGCCTCTGGAGCCCGCAGACACCCGGGGGATCGCACTTCGGGGGACTAGTCGGACCCTTCGGTGCGGGGTGCTGGGCGCAAACATTGGCAGTTCATCTTCGAATCGATCGAATCGCGGACCGCCGTTTACTCTTCCGGAAAGGCTCCTGACCCACAACGTGCCCCTCGGGCGGCATATCGGAGCAAGGCCTCGGCCGTCTGGAAGTTCGCGGCGCGCTGAGGGGAAGGGGGATGGGGCGGACGTCTAAGGAGGCAGGAGTGGATGTTTGACGGGATCGGCTGCTACTAAGAAGGTTTAGGCAGAGGAGGACGGAGAAATGAAGGAATCGGAAGCATAGAAAAGAGCTGAAAGAAGATGTCCAGCAGGGGCGCCCTACCGGACACGCGGAACAGGACACGAGATACGAGGAAGGCGTGGAGGGGGAGGGAGGGAGGGAGGTATATAAGGGAAGAGCTGACGCTAGGAGCGAAGAGGAGCGAGCGTTGACGACGCGTGTGCACCCCCTTTAAGGCCGACGCGGCGGGGCCCTCAGCTCAAAGGCTGCGAGGCGGTTGAAGTTGACGTCGTCGCGGTCGTAGTAAGAAAGCTGCTCGTAGTCGATGCAAGGTGCAAGCGGCATGCACTCAGGAAAGGCAGCCGCGTGGCTCAAAATGGGGGTGGAAGGGCGGTCGTCCCGAGTGCCGATGAACATGAGGTCGTTCAGTGGCTGAAGCGAGGAATCCTCGACGGGGATGTCCATCGCTTCGAGGATTCCGGAGCCGGCGGCCGGCCCCAATGTAGTAGACCAGCTCGGGCGCACTCGCAGCAGGAACAGGAAGATCGCCGCCATGGTGGGGAGACGAGATGGTCGTGCCCTCGACGCTGGCGCCAGGCGGGAGTAGAGTATCTGAATGTTAGAGCTGCTCGTCGATGTCCGTCACGGCAGGATGATCAACTTCTTGAAGATCCAAGTCGTGGAACGCAGAAGAAGCTGGACATTGTCCACTCTCTGTCACGGTGGCATTTAGCACCGCGTTGCCGTCGTTATAGCCATAAAGGACCTCAGCGGACTTATGAGGTGCTTCCCTGGGCCAACTGAGAAAATCACGATCAATACCGTGTGGAGGTGGGTCCGATGAGCTGGCAGCAGGTCGTACCGAGGGAGCTGAACGCGATGGAAGCGTGCCGAGGCAGCAGGTCGTACCGAGGCGCCAGTCTCCCCCCTGATGCCATTATCGTTGAACACGTAGCGGTACTCAGAGTCGGATGTGAGATCATCCAATCATCCACGATCAAAGGAGAGGCTTTATCTTCTTTAACGTAGCCAGCAGCTTCGTCCACTGGTATCGATGGCCGCCGCCGTGGGCGATGGGTAATGAAGACCTTCACCGATAGCCATAACAATACGCTGCCGTGACCAGGCTTGGGAGCTCGGGCTAAAGCTTGAAGAAGACTGGCAAAACACAGCAGGGTGGTGGGGCATGATCGATGCCCACGTCGTTTAAGCTGGGAGTGTCACAGAGATGCGGAAGGCAGACTGGGCAGACGGCGGGCAGGCGGTTGGAGGCGTCATGTAGACGGCGAGCACGGGGCGAGAAGCCCATGCAGGAGGGATCGGGTCGCCAATCGACGCGCCTCGTCGGACCAAGAGCACGCTGCCACGCCTGGCGGGCAACATGGAAGCCTTCAGGTAGTAGCGCGCGAAGGTTGCGCCTAAGAGCTTCGGCGGGATGGCCGAACAGCAAGGGATGCGCCCATCAGCTGAACGCGGCCGCCCACGGAATATGTCGGCCAATGTACAAAAGTAAGAGGACGCCAACCCGAAAGCGCTCAGGTTGGGCACATCGCCAGACGCGTTCAGCCTGTCAGGGACGGGCACGGAGGCGCTCCATAAACTCCACAAGCGACGAACCCTCGTCGAGACCAAGGTGCCACACCTCCTCGCATAACTACCTGGCACTAGTCTCTCGAAGATCCATGTAGACGCCGTCTGTTTGGCTGCGGAATGCGCGGCCGAACTCGGCGAGCTGGAGCTGGCGCCGCACGAACTGGAAGCGCCGCAAGGGCCAGATAATCGTAGGAGGGGGCGTTCTCGTCCTGGAAGAGGTAGCGCGGGATCCAATGCTCGTCGATGCGCAGCAGGACACCCTTGATCAGCCCGCGGGCGTCGCACTTGGCCTTCTGGACGGCGCGCGGGGAGCCCGCCAGCAGAGAGAAACCAGCGAGCGAGAAGAAGACGACAACGTCGAGGGTGGCGGGGGCTGCCAGACTGCCGAGGGCGTCAGAAGGACGCGAGCCACGCGGCCGCTGGTGGGCGGCGCATGGAGGCCGATCGTCGGTGGACACCTGCGCGGCAGCGGCACGTCAGGCCGCCGACAACGGCGCTAGCTGCGGCGGGCATGCAGGCACAGGCCGTGCAGGCCGAGGCGGCCGCCGGCGGCGCTGCTGGGCCCGCGGGTGGCCTTGGACCAACAGGTGCCCCCACCGCAGGGCCCGATGCGGCCTTCGCAGCGCTGGCGGCCGCTGCGCTCGCCGCGCAGGTCGCCGAGACTGGTCTGCTGGAGCAGCTTCGCGGGGCGTTGCAGCCAGCGCCGGTTGGCACGAGGCTTGCTGGGCCTTTCGCCGGCGCGGCGGCGGCGCCAGGCCAGGGCGGCAACTCTGGGCATGCAGGCGGGGTGGCGGCTGGGGCGCCGGCCGGTGCAGGCCTGGGCGGCGTGGCCGCTGTTGCTGGTGCCAGAGCGGCTTGGCTCCCCTGGGGGGCCGGCGGCGCGCGGCCTCCGCGGGCGCGCGGACCCAGCGTCCCCCGGCGACGACCGCGACGACGACCGCTCCCGAGCTACGGATCGCGGGGGCCCCCTGTTGCCTCGGGTCCTTCTCTTCGCCCAGCCCGCGCAGCTCCTTCCAGGGCATCGGCGGCTGCCGCTGCGCCCTGCGGCGGCGGCAGCTGGCGGTGCTCGATGGTGCGCCGGGCGCCCTGCCGCCGCCCTCGTCGCGCGCGGGTGGCAGGTGCAGCCCGGGAGGGGCTGGGGCGCAGGCCGATTTTGCCTCCCGCCGGCAGCGCCGCTGTCTGCGGCGGCCTGGCCCCGTGCTGCGGCTGCGCCGCGGGGCTGTCGCCGGCTGCTCGGCCCATGGATGGGCGCTCGGGTGGCGGCGAGGCGCAGTTGCCCGGCCCCACTAGGCCCAGGGGGCCGCCGGCCGCCCGAGACCGCCATGCACGGCTCTCGTGGCGAACCTCACCCGCTGCAGAGCGAGCTGGCGAGGCCCGCTTGCCGCGCCGCGCGCGCGGACGTCTGCCGCGCGGCGGAGGCGCGCGTTCCCTCTGCGGAGGCGGAGTCCGCCGCGGGTGCAGCCAGGGCGCGAGACATGGCGCAGCAGGTGGGGCAAGCCGCCGGGGGCGAACACTTGCTGGCGGCCGCGTGCTCGCTGGGCAGCTGCGAGGTCGGGGTGGAACCGATGTCCCGGCCCTCATGGCGGCACCTTGGACGGCGCCAGCATCTCGATGTGCATGTCGGCGCAGGTTGCGCAATTCATACTCTATGGCTACGCCGGCGGCCCGCCCGACGCGGAGCGCAACGCCGACCTGCTGCTGGAGGGGTTTGACTGGCGGGGTGCCTGCTCTGGTGGGCGACCTCAATCGTTTCCTCAGCGATTCCAGGCTAGAAAGCCTCTTGGGCATGGCCGGGTGGAATGACCTCCTCGCCGCTGCTGGCCTCGCGCGCATCCCGTCTCACGGGCCCGGACTCGGATCGACGAGTTGCGTCCTGGCCAGTGCCGAGGCCCAGGCGATGGTGGCTAGAGTCGGGACGCGCTGGGACCTGGGGCTGGCCGCGCACGCTGCGCTGCTGGTGGAGCTGCGGGTCACGGCGC